CAGCTGGGGACACCAGAAATGGGCGTCACACATTGTTCTCATGTGTGGATACGAACCTGAGTCTTCGAACGACGTGACGAGCGGACGCTCAAACACCAGGCTACTTCACCGTCGATGTACCTGCAAAGAAGAATCACAAATAGCGCCGTTCTGACCCTGAGTTTACTGAACACGTTTTGGTAACATTGACATCCAGGTTTCAGGGTTGATAATACTGATCCCTCTCGTTCTGTATTGATTTATGAAAGAGTGAGTGGGTATGGTTTTACGCCGCTTTTAGCAACATTCCACCAACTTTACGATGGGAGACACAAAAAATGGGCTTCACACATTGTACCCATGTGGGGATTTATTTATGTGGGTGTGTTGGTGGAGGTGCCCTTGCGTGTCGAGTCCGCGTGTCTGCGTGTGATGCGTACAATCGAATTTCCTTATCATTGCATATAGCTGAATCTGTAATATTTATCTGAAAAGAGCGTGTGATCTTTCAATTCTTTTAACGTATATTAACGCCATTACTTGGCCGCTATTTCATTAAAATATACATGGTCCAAAGGATCAGCTGTTTAACATTTAAAGATCACCTCACGGTAAGTAGTTTATCCTAGAAAACCATACATTGTCTTATTTCCATGCAGCGGTTATCTGGTTTGGGTTGAGAGGTTGACAAAAACGGTGAGCACTTGTGGGGAAAAAACAAGCTATTATAGCAGAGTTACTTCCCTTCCTCAAAGATTGGCTTGTACGGGACCTTTTCAAGTCACTGTGTGGAGCACCCGTATCTCTTTACATTACATTCTTTTCAATCGCTCTTTGTTTTATCTCATAAAGCCGAGCGCAAGGCAAGGTAACATAAACCATCTTTTGATAAGACTGGGATCGAACCTCCATCCTTCCGCTCTCCTGACTGGTGCTTGTTCCACTAGACTACATATGTCTTTACGATATAAATAAAGTTGTGATACTTTGTCTCTGTGTATTTTGGCAATTCCAAATGACCAGTGAACATAGCTGTGACAAAATTAGGAGTCACGTGACCATGTGGGTAATCCGAAATAATTATCCCGCTTTACGTCATACGTAAATGTGGAAATCGAGTTTTCTATAAATCTCTAATTTAAACACATGCTCTGTTTTTTCTCAGCGAAAACGTTAATAAACTGTTACACTTTCAATTCAAAACAAGTTTACACGTAATAGAGCACTTGTACTAGATCGGTGCAAAATTTCGAATTGCAGAATCGGAAAATCCATTCCATTTTAGTAGCACCCATTAGCTTTTCTTGGAATTTAGCGAAGGGCCGACTGGTTTCTTGGTAATCAGTTCGAGAGGCGCGTTCAGTAACAGTACCACGAGTGCTGAGCGATGAGGGAACATGTTTTACCGTCTACGTAATCACTGTGCGAACCCACGCGCGGGGGTGGTGGTGGTTTCGAAACCCCTGAACACCCTTTCAAAATTCATGGATCCGCCCATGCTCAAGACATTATCCAAGTATTAGCAATGTCTGTGTTAGGCCGACGATAGATTTTGGACAGACCCAGGCCTACCAAAGAACTTTCCTATGATCAAAGTTGGCTGATAAAAATGTTGCAGTTTTTACTGTTTCAGGAGCGAGGTAATATGTTTATGTTGCTATTTCCACGATTTATGTGGACTATTCAGCGTTTTTCTGCACAGTGGGAAAGTTTTCTTTGGTAGGCCTGAAACTGTTCCACAATAAGGTGCAATACACATTCTATTTCCGCTGTTGGTAACACATGGTCCATGTAATATCTCTGTTAAAACTTGTATTACGTACACCGGTGGGAGTGGTAACCTGGACAATTTTTTTTATTGATCACCTACCCTTAATTTGAAGCCCAAATATGCCTGAACCAACAAATAAGAAAAACAAACTACACAAGTCCTCAGTCAGTTGTCGAGTTTCTCTTTATTGGATGGAGCGAAGTTTGTGCCGCATGCTGCTTCCTTTGTTAAAATTCGAACAGTGCCAAGTTGAACCAGTACACCGAGTATTCCCGGGTCCACACTCAATGGGGGAACGCTCCTTAAACGTGGCCAACACAGCATACACGTTCTCTTTCAATTCATGAAAATTTCAGAAGACTGAATATCGTCCCCTTTGATGGTATTTTATTATTGTGATGAGAAACTGGTCGGCAACAGTCACACATCAATGACTTTAATTGTTAATATAAGTAATTAAAATGGTTCAAGCAACATTTTTGATGAGGTTATAAAAGCTCAATGTGTATTTATAACAAGGAGAGGACTCAGCAAGAGTATCACGTTTGACAAGAACACATGCTGTAACTATATACGTAGCAACATCCACGCACCGGTAACCAGCAATTAGTGTTATTGCATTAGCTGAAGTAAAATCGGATGCCAGTTTGTCATTCATTTGAATTTGTTAATTAAAACATGGCCTGTCCTTTCAGAGCCTGAGGTCCTGTTCTAGTCTGTCACAGGTCTAAAAGTTGGTATGTCGACTGCAGCTTCAGAAAATGAAATATCTGTCGTCACCTTATGTTTTACTATAATTTATCAACTTTATTTGTGTAAAATATGTTAATTGCAGATACTAAACGTCACATCCTGCGTCCATAATTAACCTATTTTCAATTTACAGGTAGTGTTCGATGTTGTCAAGTAGATACCTTAAATACAACCTTGCGTTCAGTTTCTAAAATAACCCAAGAGGCGAGGTGAAATTGGATTTAACGTCGTGCTTGAGAATATTTCGCTCATATGACGACGTGCATGCATGTGTGTGTATGTGCGGCTGCTTGTACTAGCGCGGACTTAAGCTGGTTTTATAGTGCTAGCCCACTGAGATACCATGCCGCAGTGAAGCATGGATACCCCACTCAGACACATTATACTGACTCCGAGCCGACCAGTCCTTGTTGTACCCATTGATGCCGAGCCCCAGGCAGGGACCAACAAGTACCATATTTTAACGTCTTTTGGTATGACGCCGTCGGGGATCAACCCGCGACCTTCCGCTCTCCGGGCGGACGCTCTAACCACAACACCACGGAGGCGGTCAACCCAAGAGGAAAGTTTAAGTGTTAGACATATAAATATTGTTGGACATTCCCATCTGAACAAGGTGATGTCCTTAGTAAACTGTTCAGTGAGCATGTAGGTGATGCTTGGTGTTAAGATCAGATTATTCTCCTGGTGGCCCATTAATAATACAGTCCGAGTTTGGCAAACCTATGGTTAATTTATCAGCAAAAACCCACGTATAATACACAAAGTAGATCTCCCCTTGTATCCACCAAATTCTCTTTGTAGCTGTGTATTACCAGTACTGGATGCTTGGTTTGAAACTAGTGGAACTTTTTGATAAGTTTCTGTATTGCTTCCCCATTGTGCCCAAATTGAAGCAGTGTTATAAGGAATGATGACACTGTGGACTCAGTTTAAGGTGCCTACAGCCTCCTAACAGCCTGGACACAACACAAACACTTGTAAAATGTCGCATCCACGTTTCTACATAACCATATTGAGAAATGTTATCCAGAACTGTGCGAGTGAGTTTAGTTTTACGCCGCATTTAGCAATATTCCAGCAATATCACGGCAAGGGGACGCCAGAAATGGGCTTCACACATGGTACCAACGTGGGGAATCGAACCCGGTTCTTCCGCGTGACGAGCGAACGCTTTAACCACTGGGCTACCCCACCCCCAAGCCCCGTTATCCAGAATAAATTTTCTGACTAAACATTTACAAAGTTACGTACTCATACAAAATGGTTGTTTTTTAAAAATCTGTTCCATCCTACTACCCTTTAACTTAATTGACATGTTTACAGCATCTTTGTATTAATAAAATCATGCTGATGAACAGTGTTATGTATCAACAATTTCCAGCAGGTATTGTTTCTCATGCCAAAATCAGGTCAACGTCCATATTCAGTATGGAGCAGTATGTGGAGCAGTAATGCAGGCACCTAGGTTCGGTCCGAGGTGGGTACATTTGCGTAGTGTACTTGGACAAGATACTTAGATCCACATCGTCTCAGTTCACCCAGCTGTAAAATGGGTACCCGTGATGTGTTGACAGTTTGAGTGTTTAGTTCATTGCGCCTAACACACAGCATGGCTGTATACTCCCCAGGGAGTTGAAAAAGTATGGAAGTACGACAGTGTCCTATGACCGGGTATAGTAATGTACGTAGCGCCGTGAGCAGTCCTTGTGCCTGGATATGAGCGCCATATACGGACTATTACTATATTATTTACATATGAAACTAAAGGGTGGCCCATAACATTTCCCCCCATGTGTACTAGTATACAGAAATCTATTATCTGACAGTATCGTTGGATTAATTCATTACAACTATGTGTCAATACCATTTACTTGAAAATGGCAAAGAAACTAAGTGGAAGTGTTTTATCCCAACACAATATGGTGATGCTATGACAGGTGTATTCCCTTAGTGATTGAGCGAGTTCAGTTTTACGCCGTACTCAGCAATATTCCAGCAGTCTGTGAATAATCGAGTCAGGACCGGACAATCCAGTGATCAACAGCATGAGCATCGATCTGCGCAATTGGGAACGGATGACATGTGTCAACCAAGTCAACAAGCCTGACCACCCGATCCTATCCCGTTAGTCACCTCTTACGACAAGCATGGGTTGCTGAAGATCAATATTCTAACCCAGACCTTCACAAGCATGGGTTGCTGAAGATCAATATTCTAACCCAGACCTTCACGGGTTGTGTATTCCCTATGTGTAAACACAGTTCACTACAAGTAACATACACTACTAAGAGCAAGTTAAAAAACACCCATTTCTTTCATATGACTATATAGCGAATCTGTCTCGCCACAACAGATAACATTTCTTAAAATGATGGAATCAGGTGTTCTTTAACTTCTCAGAGTAGTATATATTGGGTAGTCTTTTATCAGGTTCCATATATTGGGTAGTCTTTTATCAGGTTCCTGATGCTTATTCAAGACCAAGGCAGTTGAGTTATCTTTGTTATCTATATACATTTATTTCTCAATTCTGACATGGATTATTAAGCCTTTGCACGATGACCACTGACTGATGTTGGGATGCACCGATGAAGGTAACCATGGTGACGTGAGGACGTTGTCAGCACCTGACAGCAATTGGGCACCAATGAGCGTTGGCGAAGTGGTGAAGGTGTGATGATGGTCGACGCCCAACAGCTCTTGGTCAGGGGATGAGGACAAGCCACAGGTGCCAGGTGCAATCACAAAACCAATTTTATTTGAATAAGAATTGTGACATGAAATTGTATCTACACATACTGTACAAAACGCAGGAAGAGATACAGAGAGTATATGGCTTCCTCACTGGGTATAACACAACATAATAGTCCATTCGTCCGAACGCGACACCAATATGAAGTCAAATGATTTCAGGAGAAAATGGCTCCAGTTCTGTTTCCGTAGCAACATGATAAATGAGCCAATCAAAACATGGCTTCCCTTCAAAGGCATCCAATGAAACAGCATGAAAACATGATATGAAAACGGATGTTCTATAAACAAATGTAAGTGAATATTTTATACATCTTGAACATAGGGTACATGAGAAACCCAATTCTATGAGCAGTGAAAAACAGATATCAATGTAAGTTTGGGAAATGTCAGTGTTGCTTATGATATGGCAATTGTCTGTTTATAGGGTTTTTCCCATGCTTAAACAGCACAAGCATTACAACAGAAGCCTTGGCAGGCATAGGAAGCTGTGCAACGTTAACATACCTACCAATGGCAGTAGAATCAGATTCAGTTATTTTCAAATTTCAATTTTCTTGTAAAAATTATTTGATATATATCCATTCTAGAATTCCAATTAAAGTTTCTTAAAAACTTTAGAAAAGTTAAGAGTAACATGAAATTGTCTGTGTGGATCCACTTTCACGTGATGCAATCTTCTGTTCACTATGAAAACAGGGAACATTCAAACAGAACGTCTGACAGAATCTGAGCAACACTCTGATCCAGAATCTGCGACATGACTAAGGCTAACAACCTACTTTGATGATGAACAAACAGCTTGCGATTTTCCTCAATTCTAGCTAAGCACAAGAGGATGGTGGCAGCCCTCCGTAACATGTCAAGACTAGTACCCATAACCTCCGGGTTGTTCTGAAGAGCTCCTATGCCCTGGGTATTTGCCACCTGCAATGCATTCTGTTCAGCTGTTTCCAGAAAGTCTACAAGTAATGATATACAGGGGTGTTGTAGAGCAATGGCCCGAGCAGCGTTACTGTCACCTTGAACTAACTCTGATAAGAGAACTAGAGCAAATTCCCGTGGAACTTGGTCCTTCCTATTTGAAACCAATTTGCACAAATTTGAAAACAGGTCCACAATCCGTTCAAAAGGAGGAGTTGCCAACAGTAAATCTACATTATAGTCATGTATGCACAATTTGCACAAAGCTTCGAGCACGAGTCGCTGAGGTGAGAGGACGGACTGGGGGGACATGCTAGGCAGGGGGTCTCTAGCACACGATGACGGACACACTGCCCAGTGCAAAAGTCCGTCCAGAATAGGGAAGCAGATTTTCTCAGAGTAGGCCGATAAGTTTAGATGTCCACAGATGTTGGCAAATATCACTAATGTATTCTCACGCAGAGCATCTAAGTAGCTCCAGAACCATTCCCCATTGCCTTCACATATGTCTCCCATCAAGTCTGGCTCGGTGATGTCTGTGTCCACATCCTTCTCTACCAGTTTCCGATGACACTTTGAGCGAGGTAGGTGTTTGTGATGAAGCAGCAGCAACCTCCCCATCACCTTCATCAGTGCGGCATGTTTCGACATCTCCACGTCATTGCCCGGAATGCAGGAGAGGCTGCGCAAGATGTTGGAGATGCAGACACAGCGCCGTCCCAGCTCCTCCTGGGCTTCTGTGGACAGGCACAGTGGTGGTTCGTCCCGGTGGTACGCCTCCTCCTCCAGCTCACTCTCCTGGTGGGACAAATTCAACAGAGACTGCTCAGACAGACTGATCTCTGCCAAATCATCTCGACTCGAGATGCTGGAATTCAGAACTCCTGTCTTGGAATCCACTGGCTTGGTCTCTGATGAAGGTTCTGTTTGGGTATCCTCGTCTTGTGTTACGTCAGATTCAACCTTTGTTTCAGGAGCTTCTTTCGAAACGTCATCAGTCTCCATTTTTGTTATTTCTTCTTTCCCGTTTTCTTCCTTTACTGTGTTCTTTTCCACTTCAGGCTTTGAGTTCAGATCAAATGGTTCCTCCTTTGTGAGGCATGGAGCTTCCTGATCTGAATCAGATGAATTTTCACACTTGTCTATATGATTCACACACTTCTCTGAATCCTTGCACTCCTCAGCACACTTTTCTGCAGCAGCTTTTTCCTTCACCGCTGCCTCATTTGATGATGAATCGTTTGAGTCTACACTGTCAAGACCTGAGTCACGAGGCTCAGTCTTCATGTGCACAGATTTGATGAAATTGTTTCTAATTTTCGTCTTGTCACACACAGCAGAATGATCAACTTTAATTGAGATTGTTTCCTCGTGCGACACACACTCCTCTGACGTATCCAAACATGGCTTGTCTAACTTTTCTGCCACCTCCTCACTCTCAACGTTCTCACCGTGGTCACTCACAGGGCCATTAACTATGCTATCACGTTCTTCTCTAGTCCTTTTCCTGTTGGAAAATAACCTGGTAAACATTTCATGTGTCTTGCCACTTTCCATATGTGTAACAATGTGATGAGTGAGGTCCCCGCCCCCTAGCTGCCAATGATTCCGCCTGCCACTATAACCACTATACACGTCCCATTTCTTTCTATCAGCCACCCAACTTTCAGGGGAGTCCTCCTCAACCTTGACAGTCTTGCCATTCCACGTAACATGAATATTTTTAAGGTTATCGGGATCAGGACCATCATCCTCACAGTCTGACTCAACTTCTGCACACTTTTCCAGCTTGTGATCATACCCAAGATCGGAATCTTCAAATATGCCAAATATCTCCATCAAACACTTGCGGAAATGTTCTATTAACACTTCAAGTAAGCCAGGCAGATGTACAAGGTTAAAATAAGCTACAGTGCTGTCATCAAATAACAGAACGTTGAGAGTGTCCAGAGCCCATGTGCTCTCCGCCAGCAAACCTGATTTCAGAGCCATCATTAATCTCCAGGCTTCCAAGGATCCTGTTGATGAGAAAGAGAAGCGTCGTGAGTAAACAGCATTAGTCGTGGGGACAAACATTAACTACCATAGGATCTACAGAATATCGAGATAATTATAGAACATATAAAGGGGTAACACAATGATTTGAAAATGAAGAGGATATCTACGTTAAATGGAGTGGCTACCTGAATGTACAAGGTAATGGGCTTCGGACATGATAAGCACTATGCCATTTTCTTGAAGCCCAATTGTTTAGACCAAAAAAAATAAATCAGCACAGTCTATTTATGTAATGATGAAAAAAATCATGTATAAACAAAATAAATAAAATATTGCCAAAAACACAAGCTGTAAACCTAAATTTGCTTTTCCTTTGCAGCACAAAGCAATTTTCTGGTTCTCATTGGTACTAGGTACCACTTACTAGACGCAGCCTCACAAAATATTCAAATTCCGAAGTCCATTATTTTGGTTGATATGACATAAAGGTCAGCGGTCACCACCTCCATGTTTACAGACGAAAAAGTCACGAAACGTGAAACAATGAACAATTAAGTAAAAAACATGTCGTGAACTCGGAGTTCGGAGATTTTTAAAAATCTTTACAAATACTTGGACAAATTGAAGGATTGACACGCACGAAAGTACGAACGAGAGACGGACGTACAGACGAACGTAGTCAGGTGTTACCGACCTATATCTTTGCTGGACAGACGTCGCCTCTTATTGAGAAGCGGTAGTGTGGCCTCAACGCTGTCATGGGGGGAACACTATCTCCTTCTTAGGAGGGAACTGAGCATTTGGAAACAGAGTACCCGGCTTCTGCTGCAAAAGAATCAGCAGAGTGTAACAGAGCTGTAGCTCAACACACGAGAACCAAGCTAGCATGGGTACCCACTACAAAACATTGGGCTTCCTCTTGTAACACCTCACTGATCATCTTGCCAACATCACAATTCCCTGACACCATCACAAAACTCAGTTAACTCCTCATGAAACAATTAGTACATGAAAAATAATTTTCGGAGGAATGTTTTAATTCACTTCCAATTGTAATGAAGCAACAGTTTCATCATCTGAACAGACAAAATACTCATAAACATCTGTGATGTGGTGTGAAAACGAAAATAGTTTTGTACCAAAAGGAAATTAAATGGGTATCTAGTTTTTGTTTTCAAATAAATCCCATTCAAAGCTGCAAAAATCAACATTCAAAAGCTTGCAGTTTTTAGCTAACAAAATGTAATTTAATTTCTTAAAACACTAAAATAAAAAGAAAGAAGCAAGAAAGAAAAAAAACACTGTTTAAGCTTGTGTTCAGCCAATCATTGAAAAGAAAAGAAAGGTAGATTTCCAAATATTTCAGGATGGCTTTTTTGATTCAGAACTTTCGTTACACTTACAATGAACCCCAATGTTTTGTCAGGTGACCACATATAGACATCTAAAAAGCTATTACTGAACTACACAGTATTAACATAAGCTGGGGAGAGAGACAGAGGACAGGTGGGACAGTTCCTGGGATATATGCAGTAGCCATATTTGTCACATGTGCCGACCTTGGTGCTGACCGACAAGCGAGCTGACCCTCGGGCACGAGCTACCTCGTGTGTTGGATTACGCGGAGAAGGCCGCTGCAAAGCAGCAACACAAAGAAGCTGTGTCCCATTACCTTAAGGCTCATCGTCAGCCATCTGGTGAAAGCTGCTTTTGAGAAAGAAAACAACTGGCATCCTATATTCCACTACAGAGCATCGTTCACCTGTTAATGGCTACTCACTGGAAACATCAAATAATACTCATTCATGTGAAAAGTGTGTTCTGTAACTTTCATTGCGATTATAAAAGTGCATGCAGAGTCAATTATTTTCTAGTGTTTCATACACATTACAAGGTGTTTTGCTTTCATATCTAATTTTTCACCCCAAATCTGGCCCAACGAAACAACTGTCTTAGCTTTGTCTGATAATGTTGCTGTATGCCTTCTGGTACCTAGAAACCAGCATATGACGAGTATGTCAAGAAAATTTGTTAATATTGAGAAAGATTGAGAAGCTACATTTCTACAACTAGCACTATAAAGCTGCATGCAAAATCAGAATGTCTATTAGCACAAAAGCTCAAGAGTGGCTAAACTTTAAATCAAATTAACACATAAAAGTAAAAAATGGGGCAAGCTACGACAAAAGCAAGTGTTCAATGGTTGTTTAAATTTAAATCTGAAATACTTTCCTCGATTTGAAAGTGAAACTGAGTGTCAGAGTCTCTGATGTGGGAGTCACAAGACACGTTTCAAATTGAAGGCTGTTGGCAACACCCCATGCTTAGCACAAACAGCACACATCTACTTCTTTTAACATCTTTAATTGCTTCAACACAAGAGCATCTTCATTTCCATACCCACTTCAAAACTAAAATCATTGCATAAACAAATTACTGCTTTCCCAATTAGAATATAGTTGATGTGGACATGAAGACTATGTGGTTCTACCAATGGCTGCTATGTAGGAAGTTTTTACCTGTGCCTTGGTCATGTATGGTTTGTTTTCTCTGGCGTGTGGAGATCCTCGGGGTCCAGCCCTGCTGTATGGCCCCATTGGTGGTGTGCCTGGTGCGACCGGAGGCATGCCTCCCATAGCGTGAGGCATGTAGTTTGGGCCTTGTTGGGAGGGGTACCTTGAAGCCATTGGAGACCACTGTCCAACGTCACCTCGTCGAGGATCTGAAATATTACACAATGGTGTTATGGATACATTGCCAAACTGCATTGAAGTATTTGTTGTTGTGTCTAGAAATAATCAAAATCTAATCGATTATATTTTTAAATTCTTCATATACATCTATTTAACTTGTTTAAAGTTTAAATACATACATTTTTAACATTAAATTTTAAGTTTAATCAATATTTATGGAATTACGGTGAGCTGAAAGTGTTCAAAAAATTATTTTCAAAATCCAACTCCTTGTTATACTTCTTGCTATATTTTGCAGTTAAAAACGTTTGTAAAAGCCACTATTTTGATGACATCTGACAAGTAAACTAGAAATGACAAACAAACGTGTCAGTAACAATTAGTACACACTTGTATGCGATATACCATATCAGACGAAATGGTTAGTCAAAACCACAAGACTTGCTCAGTAAATGATAATATCTAACTATCCGTCTAAGACAAATATTAAGATGGTAGTAGTCATCCCACATATCCACAGTTGATCATAACTGGACAATCCCATTCTTCTTCACATTGCTGAATTATTTTGCATTAAGTTGGAAGACTTCAATTTCCAGAAAAAACAGCTGAATTCAACCCATGTTTTTGGTTAAACGTCGCACACAGAAATATTTCAGCTATATGCTAGCAGTCAATAAATAATCCAGTCTGGACTAGAATATGTTGTGAGTGACATCATGATGTGTGCAGTTTGGATACGACGGCGTGAATGAAGGAGTCACGAAGTCTGACCACTCTATGGTCTGTCGCCCCTCACAGTAACCACTGGTTGCTGACAGATCAGTTCTAACACATATCTTCATGGATGAATTCAGCTTGTGTGCCTCATAGCATCACAACATAACAAATTATGTTTCATGAACTGGATTTCAAAATTCAAACTGCAAAAACAGTTCATAGGATATTACATTTTTTCATTTATTTTAATTGATTGAACCTTCTTAATACATTTCCCTTCCACAATGCAAAACAAGTCAGAATGTATGAATCAGCCATCAGATCTGTAGGTCACCAAGATTTGTGTGTATTTGCAATGTCAAATCAAACAAAGCGTTTAAATTCAAAGTGAATTAAAATCAAGCTCAAGACTAACTGTGCCAAGTTGATTTATGAGAGAAACATCGGGAGGTAATAATAGTAACATGTAAAGAATAATGAAACAAGTGATGAATAAAAATATCTTTTCAATATGGCCAACATAACTGCCATGTTTGATATCAAGGCAGGACTTAAGTTGTCTTTCAGTGGCATTTAGAAGTTGTACATTGATGTCCAAGATATTTTTATGGATTAAACTTCTTTTTTAATTTCTCTCACGACGTTTCGAGACCATTCCAGGTCCTGTTCACCTGATGAAGGGACCTGGAATGGTCTCGAAACATCGTGAGAGAAATTAAAAAAGAAGTTTAATCCATAAAAATATCTTGGAGGACTTAAGTTGTCAAAATGCTAACATATACATTGCTTGTTAAATTATAACTACTGGAAGAAACAGATTCAAAGCAAGAAATCATATCATGAGATACAACTACTCTAAAGAAAAAGAAAACTAAATTCTAAATCTTTATTTTAGTTAATCTGTCATTGCTTGCGAGATAAACTATGATACTACCTCCTTTTAAGTAGGATATAAAAACAGATATAACAATGAAAAGTCAGAATTTAAATCACAAATGTTGCCAGATAGCTAATTAAATTTAATTCTGTACTGATTTGATATTTAACTTTCAGGGAAATTAGGGTTCAAGGATATCCAAAATGATAACCGTAACTGAAATACAAACAGTTTGAAAGTCCTGGATGTTATTAGATACATGATTTCGGTACACAATCACAATAACCATTGCTTTTATAAGCCACACAAAACTTCGCATTGAAATTGAGCAGTTAAACAGGAAACAAAAGGAAGAAACAAGATGGACGCAGGGACAACAAGCCTTGGCATATGATCACTTGGACCTTTGGTCCAGGGAATCGACAGAGTCAAAGTTAGTAAAAGCTTAAACCAATTACTGAGCTCCTACCAGTCATGTGACCTTCATGATGTGAAATCATACCCTCGTGAGGGTATCCCCCATGACTGGGGACAGGCATACCTCGCTCGGTATATGGCGATGAATGGCCAAACGCTGTCAAAAAAGACAACAAATGGCCCCCTTAACTATCTGGCAAATATCTAAAGCTACAGACACTTCTCAGAAGAACGAACAAGTTTTGACATTGATAAGAAAACTCGAGCCACTGTCCACTAGACTGTGCATTGATAATCTTTTTATCTGTTCAAGGATGTCAAGGACATCTGGTCAAGATTACACGTTTCTGTATGGTTTTATGTCACTTTTAGCAATATTCCAGCAAGATCACAGAAGGGGACATGGGCTTCACACATTGTACCCATGTGGGAATTTCGAACCCCAGCCTGAGGCAGGTGAAGCCAATGATTTAACCATTTGAATATGAAACCACTCTTTTCAAAGTTGGTGATCAGTAAAGAACTTGAAAAAATCCCACCCAAAACAAAACCCTAACCTCAAAACAATCAAACGCGTGCTTTAAATATTTTAGAGTAGCCAATCATACTTCAAAATATTGAATGTTAGTGTGTCAGTTTTTTCTTTAAAATACTGGTTTTTGTTGAAGATTTCTCATAATACAGCAAAATGACATTTCGTCAATAATATAAGACCGATATATACACTAACAGACCACAAAACCAGAGAATGTGTTCTTACCTGGTGGCATCTCTGCGTAGTGTTTGTTAGGGGTGCGGTATATCCCGCCCGTCATGTCCCTGGCCATAGGCGGGCGGGGCCCAGGAAAGGAGCCCTGTTGACCGTTGTACCCGGGGTATCCTTCCTGACTCATCATGGGCCGGGGTCCTGTGTATCCAGGGCCCTGTGCTGGGTACGACTGTGCAGGGTACTGATCCTGTGGGCCCCCATGAGGCGGCCTCATCCCTGGTATCTGTTGCCCCGGGTAACGGGCTCCCAACATCTGCTCGGGGCCAGGCTGGTTTGGGGCCATCATCCCTGCTTGGGATGTAGGGCGATACTGTTGGCTGGGGTGGGTGGGGCCAGGTTGCTGTTCATACCTGAGACAAAACAATACTTTAATGCATGCAATAGTAAAATACAAATATAGTGTAACAAACAGACATTAAAATAGGATAAGAAATTACAATTCGGGGGAATGGACATATTTAAAATCATCTGTATAACACTTGCATCAATCCAAGATATAGAAAAGGAATTGTGGATGTTGTGAGAAATAAAATGATTCACCCATATCATTATACATTTTCTTTCAGATTACCAAATCACTCATTACATTTCTGAATAGAGAACATGCCAGCGTCCGCTGTTTTTGCATAATTTGTTTTTTGGACCCTTGTAGTAAGGCACATATTCTCACCTTTCTGGTCGTTCAAACTGCTGTCCAAAGGGAAATCGATTTGGTGCGCTTGGAGGCCTGGCAATGTACTGACTTTGACCAGGAACATAGGATTCACCAGGCCGTGCAGTTCCAGGTGGGTAGGATTCCATTCCTGGTCGTGGGTACGTTGATGACTCGTTGAATTGCTCTCCTTGAGAGGGGATACGACTGGGAACACCATCCCCATAACTGTTCATATTGGACTGGTTCATGTTACTGGAATATTGGGGCATATTTGGGGGCACTCCTGATCGAGCATTGTAGTTAAAGTTGCTGTTATGTTGCTGGTTTGGCGGCTGCTGTTGCTGTTGTTGAGAAGGTGTTGGCTGCTGCTGGGACTGCTGCTGTTGAGGGGGTTGCTGTTGTGGCGGGGGCGCGGATTGTTGTTGCTGCTGCATACTTGAATATGGCGGCATCTGAGAACTGACACTTTGTCGAGGAGAAAATTGGGAATTAGTAGACGTGGGCTCATCAGCAAACGGATCCTGAACACTTATACTGTCTGATGTTGAAGGCATGGTTGTGCCAGCACTTGGGGCCATTGCACTGGAGGTGGGCATCATGGAATTTCCCATCACACTGTTTGGAGGCACGTTGCCTCCTAGCATATTGTTCTGTTGGGGGTTAAAACTACTGCCCCCTAGCATACTGTTGTTTGGCATATTCCCTGGCATCATAGCATTATTGGGCATTGACGCCCCCATCATTCCACTCGAAGGCACGCTGCCCCCCATCATACTGTTGGGTGGCATATTATTCCCCATCATATTACTCTGACCCATATTGCCCTGCATCATGCTGTTTGGCACCATTCCACCTGGGCCCCCTATCATACTGTTAGGCATGTTGCTATGACCACCACCCATAGCAGAAGGGTGGGGCATGTTGGACTGCGGAGGCATCATTGTGTTTGGGTTCATCATGTTGTTGGGTGGCATCATGCCCGCACCTCCTCCCATGTGCCCCATTCCCCCGTCAGAGTTCTGCATGTATGGGGGAGGCATGCTTGGGGAGAAGGGGTCCATCCCCTGGCTGTTTGGGGTACTGGGCGGGCGGAATGCATCCTGGGATGATGAACCTTGAGATCCAGCTGAAAAGGATAGAAAAGTGAGCTGCATAATTCCAAGGGTCACATGTAAATTACCACATGTAAATTACAACTATGATGCATGTCGGTGAAGAGACTGAATGAAGTACTGAATGGTAACCAATGACTACAGAGATTGATATCGATAAAATTAAGTAGTTCTGTTTGATGTAAGAAGGGCAAAAATATAATGCATTATTGGTCTGAGCAAAAGACTGGCATGAACATAACCTGGAAGGCTAACATACTGATGTTCTTGGAAGCATGATCACGAGGTAAATAGTGAAACGTAAGCTATTCTCTGTAAGGCTGCAAAATCCACCATTAATTGATTGCTACATTCAAACCATATCCTTTACACTTCAGCAGCTTGCAGCTTAGTGGAATTGCACTTTCAATAAGTCTATTCTCTACTAGTGGTAATACTTACACTAATATTATCCGGGAAGTGTATGAACATTACACAAAATATTCTATGATGGTTACAATGAATTTACGACTTCTCATTTTATGAACAAAGCATGCCTTAAAATTCATAAGAGTGGCAGTTTCATGCTTGCTTATTAGAACACATAATCTGGGTGGCTAGATATACGCCCAACCACCACTAGGTAGTAAGAAAGCTCTCTGCTTGCCCAGCAAAACGAGATTCAATAGAATGAATGAATTACCTGGTGAAGGAGCTCGCTTCTGTTTCTGTTCTCGTTTCTGAGCTAAAGCTTGTTCCATTTGGTTAAGGATAGGCTGAGGATCAATGCCTCCTTTATCAAACTGGCACTCATAAGCAAACAGGTACTTAATATAGTTCTTTTTTAATGTGAAAGCAGCACTAGCTGATGATCCAATGTTCACAAAACCACAAATTTCTTTCCATTTTTTCGTCTTATTAACCTGCAAGAAAAACACAACAGTTACCAAAATCATTTATACAAAAACATATCCAGATCATGATAATTTAACTAGTTAAAGGTGTCTCAGCCAAATGAGGGGAAAGTCAATGTTTACTGTGATGGAATGTCATGTAACTAGAGTTCTAACTCTGACAAAGATTACTGAAAACAAAGGGATGTAACTCTGCAAAAAGTAGCTGTTACACCTTTAAATCTCTGCCAAATGTTTTAAACGAGAAATAAATGATCTAAATGGACTAACTAACCCGCTGAAGATACTGTCGGCAAGTAAGTGCTATTATATATACAGGTGTTTGTGTTGAAGAAAATTATCACCTGCCTCATTTTGTCATACAATTCTTTACTGTTAATTAAGCACGAAGAGTAGAAAATGATGGAAAACAATAATGTCAATATTATAAGTTAGGGCTGCTTCATTCCACGTGAGACTCCAAGAACAATTGTTCTACATATTTTCGAACACACACACCAAACAGCGAAGTGTAGCACTCACCTCGACCATTCCTCCTTTCTCCTTCACACATAGATATAGTTTATAGAGATCAAGAGGCTGTTTACTGATGGAAGGCATTGACGTTACAGGAGTTCCTTTATCCTCTAAAAACATCAACATTTTATCCAGGAATGGTCGTCGTTCAGGCTCCATGCCCATCTCGTACAGTTTTCCCAAATCAGCAGGACCACCAGATTTCTGTAAGGATATAACATGAACATGAAAATATAGAAGAAGCACAAACATGCCAGATCACAAAACAGACTCCAAACAAATTGTTTTGCAGATCAACTTTTGTACAACAGGGTTTGAGGTAATCAGTCCTCAACTGTTACTATATATGCTCAGTATTTTAGTGAGTTAAGAAAATACATGATGGCTATATGTGGTTAATATTGGTTAAGGGAATTAGATGCATCAGCAACATCTGTTTTCAGGGAAACCTAAAAATTAATTTTGTTTATCAAGGAGTCTGTTTTATGTTGTTAATCTCATTCCTTCTCTTCACACATTCCAATTGTGGCAGACGACATTTTAATATCCCATGCGTCAAGAATATTTGCTAAAGACAAGAAACAAAACGGAAGTCATTGTGAGCTAGAGCCTGAACTGAAAAAACAGATACAAACCCTGACCAAACAACATAATATCCAGCATTCATCTGCACATCATCAAAGCGTATCCCTAACAACATCTAACACAACAGACAGAGCATGCACATTTTGTGAATTAAAACAGGTTACCTTATGGGTAATATTAAACTGTATACTACAACATTTGACAGGGACATTTTTGTTATTTCTCTTTAGGTCAGACCAATTTTATTTCTTGTTTTATGGATTTTTGTCCTCAGAAAAACTAAATGCAGGATGAATTTTTATTATTATAAAAATCACCAAAGTAATATTCCTTTTAATACTAAAAGTATTTTACTTTTGGCAATTTATGAAGTGTACATGGGGCAAAAACAATCTAAAAAATATTTCTTGCAAGTTTTCATTTTAGGCCAATAAAAACATTACAATTTTATTTTTTGTGCAGGGAGTTATTTTTTCTTTCCCTTATTCTTGAAAACATATGAACGGCGGATCCGTAAAACAAGAAATAAACTTGGTCTGGCCTTGTACAGAAATGTTCTATCAAATAGTAAGTAGTATATTGTTTTTGAGACAAAAAGTTCAATGAAATTCATATGATCAGGAGAATCTGATCAGATATTTTTCACAAAATATTCTGGTGAAACCAAAGTGATGTGAAAAGATGACTTTGATGATGTGTATAAAATGTGAAGGGAAATAATACTTCATGCTTCACTGAAAACACAAAATAAAACAAAAAATGCTTGCTAAGTTGATGACCACCATGGCTGAAAAGCCAACACTGACACCCCCACGTGGAAGGAATGAGAACTTCACAGACACCTGTCAGTAACGTTAGTCGATTAGAGAGACCACGTTGTCACCAGACACCGTACAGGAAGGCGATAAGGAAAGGGTACCTGGTGATCGGGAGGGATTCACAGACAGACAGGGGCGCACAGACGAAGAACGGACGAACTAATCAGATGGTTGGTTGGTCGGCGGGGACGTGTGAGTATAATCGGACGTTACGAATTAAGTACCCGACCCTTTCACCAGGGCCCAAGCAGTGGGGAAAAGGATAGGCGGAGCCAGTTCCCGAGCTGATTAACGAGCGAGCCATTCATATCGTTCCAATCGACTTACGGGCGTTCCGGGCAAACTGGGGCTACTGCTCATGTCGTCCTGAGCAGAGGAAAGATTGGGTGCGCCAGGAGAGGGCGCTCCAACCACCACATTGTCCTAGAATAAAATCACTGGCACCTCAGTTGAGTAACATGGATCTATCAGTGCTTCTTATGTCAGGCCAGTTCATTGTTACAAGAGAACATAATATAGGTTTTCTGTCAATCATTTTGCATGCTTTTTTCCCAAGCTGCAATAGTTTGATGACTGTACAATTACAAGGTTCATGATTAAGTGTCTGGCGCTCAAAATTAATACCATTTAATAAGAGGAATGAGATAAAATAAGATCAATTTACTTTTTTTTGGTTCCTGAAGTTTTCAGAATGATCTAATTACATTGGTGACAAATATCAAAGAGAGACAAGGGATCACGACTAACATCAACAAATCTAAAAAAAAGCTAACCTATCATGCTAACTCTACAACTAAAGATGATGCGCTATAGTAGTTGTTACAGCAAATCAAATCTGCAAATACTGATGAGGACGCGATGATTGTATGGAGCTGGATCATAAGCAAATAAAAACACTGGCATGAAAAAATTAAAAGCCTTATTAATTTTTTGGTAGGGAAAAAGCATAAGACATGAATGTCGGCCATGAGACTGAAGAGAATATCTCATGTGAATAAGAATTATCTCCCCTTGACAAGTTCTTTCATTGCTTCTGCACCTGTAATCTCTACAAACATTTATCAAAAGCACATTTGAAGAACTGCTTGAAACTAATATAAAATGAGTCTACAGCTAACTATGCACTAATACTAACATAATCTCAAACCTGCAAACAATCATTAATAAACACAGCACAAGATAAACTTCTACAAAGCCCAACTGCATCTTGGAGCACAAACCTTTTTCTTCTTCTCCGGAGGCTCTTCCGGAAACGTTGGCATAGGGATGCAGTTCATCACTGGCATGCTCGGGATGCTGTCAATTCCCATTTGTGAGTTGCACATGGTCGTCTCTGCGATGCAGGTCACAGGACAAGTGATGCTCTGGGTCACTACAGTAGTGGTGCTGACTGAAAGGCACATCAACAGAGGTTACTCACAACAAACATCCACCTCTTGTCAGTGCAAGAAAACCAAGGGAGACTACTCAAGCAGCTTGATGGGCTATGATGCAGACCAGCATAGCCAATGGAGAACTACAAACAAAATAACTATGGTTAGGAATGAACTACAACTTCAGAGAGCTCAACTACATTTTTTCTTCTTAAAATACGAACTTACGTTCTGTTAGTTTGTAAAGATTATGAACTAAAGGATACGACATACCTTGTTGGTCTCAATTCAGAAAATTTTGAGAGCGAATGGATCAAATATGTACAAGAAATACTGTTCATTAACTTATACTTTTTATAAAAATGTGGATCATAAACCAAATACCACACAAGAACATGGCCTAATTGGCATCGAAAACAAAATCAGGAGAAGTGGGAAGGGATAGAAATGTCAGAATTAACGTAAAAATATATTTTATTGCGATACATTTTTACAAAGGACCAACAAAGTTTGCATTTCCTCATCCAAAACAAATGCTTGTAAAAGGCAGTTGGGATTGCTGCCAGGTCAAAATGGGTGAAAAGGAAGGAAACAAAAAGGTGCAGGAAAGGAAACAGAAATGAACACATGACAGGTAGAATCCCATCACAAGCATGGTGAGGCAATTTGGCAGCACTGACACTGAACAAATACTATGATCCATGAGAGAGTCAAAGCAAGGTTAAGAGATGCCAGTGCAGAGGCAAATCTGGTGCGGGACACAGTTCTGTAGCTACTTGTGCACTGACTGGCAGTTTTGACTCCCGTCTCGTGTGACTTACCCATAGTTGTGATAGCTGTAGTAGTGATATTCTGGTGTTCAGGGGAAGAGGATGAAGAGGGTGTGGTCATAGCTCCTTCCATTTTCACCTCTCCTCGACTAGACTCTGTGGTCGGAGGTGCTGGAGCCTGGGTCAGGTTGGGGGAGGTGCTGTCACCACCACAGCTGCTCACAGTGTCCGAGTTTGATTGGGTGGTGGTGGCTACTAACGTCGGGGGCGTAGCAGCAGTTGTGGTTGGAGGAGGCTCGGGTAACTCTGCGGGTGGATCAGCAGGTTTTGTGTCTGTCGAAGAGGCTGGCATGGAATCTGAGGAGTTTGAACCACTGTTTACTGCTGATGGTGTTTCCGACATTGAAGTCTTGCTATCGGCTGGTTCCGAGTTTGCAACCTTTGTTTCCATTTGACTAACAGCTGCAGGGGATTTGGGCTGAACTGTTGGTGGTGAAGGTTGTGAGTTGGGCATTGGGGATACCGAACTTGTGGATGTCGTAAAGGCAGCAGTTGTGGAATTCTCTGCTGCACTTGTAGGCAGACTGTTGGATTGCCCAGACACAGTTGAGGAGGCAAGGCAGTACTGTTGGACTTGCCACCTTTATGTGAAGGAACAGGACCGGATGGTCCCAATGAACCTGGCCCCATACTGTTGGTCACTGGACTATGGGACATACTGTTAGGCATTTGATTCATAGAATTTGACATATTGTTCATGTTTGGGTTCATGCTTCCCATACTGTTCATATTTGGGTTCATGGGACCCATGTGGTTCATGTGAGCCATCTGATTGGGTGGCATCTGATTGGCCGACTGTGGGCCAAACATACGTGGTTGTCCTGCTATCCCCATTGGCACAGCCGGTACCGATCTCATCTGTGCTCCCCTCCCAACAGCGCTGTTGGCAGCAGCAATCATGGCAGCCTGGGCAGCGGCCTGAGCCCCTTTCACGCCCCCTGGGCCCGGCATGGGTGGCCCTGCAGGGGGAGAGGTGTGCATTCCCATGCCTGGTTGTACCGTCTGACCAGGTGGACCCACAGAGTTTATGGAGGAATGACTCGGCATGTTGGGATTCATACCAGGCCCTTGCTGACCCGGCCCTGGACCCGAACCTGGGCCAGGACCCGGACCCGGACCTGGGCCTGGACCCATGTGGTTGTTAAATCCACTATACTGATTGTTCATTCCCCCAATCTGTCCCATGCTAACATTGCCTTGTCCACTATATGCATTATTGTAGCTGGAATTGCCCATTCCTCTGTTTAAGGGCATGTTGTTGTACATTGGACCTCCCTGTCCCATTGGATTTGGCCCGTTATACATATTCTGAGAGGGATAGTTGGACATTCCAGAGGCATTCTGCATGCCCGGAACGTTATGCTGACGTCCGTAGTTCCCTGAAAGACAATTCATGATCATCTTTTATTCTGCATGATGAGACAGAACTCCTGGATGAGAATCAGTGTGAAGTACATGATTGACAGGGCTGCCCAATTGCCGTTCACCATGAAGTGACAGAGACTGTGATCAGGAAAAGCCAACATAGGTGGTGGAACAGGATAACATGGGTTGGAAACTCCTTTACCGCTTAACACACGATACAGTCCTACTTACATAGGCTATGTCTAAAGTCAGTGTTAAAGCTACGGGAGCAATTTCACTAGTAGTAAACCAATGCATTTTTATAGTTTTCAAACCAAACTTTTCTTCATTCATCACCGACTACAAGAACACTATGATTAATTAATTATCCAAAGGTTAATTCAAATTTATGAAAGTGAAGCAATTAAATTGCAACTACAAACTACATCTAAAGAAAGACTTGTCAGATTTCTAGTTCAATGCCAATGCAGGCCTTTCCTATCAGTTATGTTCACTTCAGTATTGTCAGGTAGCCATCAAGCTGGATTCTGTTGCGATTCTATGGTTTGGATTGACTGGTGAATAATTTGGCAGCCCTGTCATAAAGACAAGGTTTGGTTGCGGATTTGCACAGTAGTGTCAAATGCAACAATATAAACCAAAAATACTTAACTCAAAATCAACTTCAAAAATGACATTCACTTTACCACTTCAGTTTTACATTATGCACAAAATAATTTAGTCAAACCAAATACAGCATGCAGACCGAAATACTAAAACTAGATTTGTATTTTATTTTGGTTAGACATATTCACAGCATGCATACCGACACATTTAAGTACCAACTGCACATTAAACCTACATATGGGCTACAATTCTTCATGCAATTATCGATTTTTAACATTGACATGATACAATATTCACAATAAGATCAAAACATATTGTATACCCTTTAAAAAAAGAATCAAAAAAGAAAAAGAATTTATTTTTTTTAAATTTCTAAACAAAAATCAGTTCATTCATCACCATTGTACTTGTATCAGCAAGCATAAATGTCTGAAGCTTCCAGAGACATCCATGCACTATTTCACAACTACATTATACTTTCGTTGCAATGAAATTTACATCCTCTCAAAACATTCCTTTCGTCACTATATTTGTGTGGTTTGACAACAGTAAGTCTACAACTACATACTACAAATCAGTCAGAAGCTGGGGAGATGGGAACAACGGTTAATGCAGGGTTGCTCAACACAACAACAAAACAACAAGAACAACATATAACAAACCTGGATAGAACAGAGAGAGACAATAGAAGCACTACAATTGCACAACCTTCTAATGCTAAATTTCAAAACATCTAACATTTAAATCAAATATTCTTGTGGATTTTGTGAAATTAATTGCCAATTTTTCCTAAATTGATGTAGTCACAAAAAGCTTTTGTAAATGTTCTCACATCACAACTTTTCAAACATGTATGTAGTACAATAGGTAGAGCTGTTTGCATTCAGAAGGTTGTGCAGACACGATACTAAAGGGATAGATGGTCTCACCTGGGCCTGGGCCGGGACCGGGAGGATACTGGTTGTTGTACTGACCATAGTGACCGAGTTGCCCGGGCCCCATTTGTCCTGGTGCCCCTCCCATCTTGTTCCCCCCAGGCACAAACCCCATTTGGTTAGGCCCGATAGGTGGCGGCATCATTTGTTGGTTGTAGCCTGAATCAAGTTAAGCAAACACAGAATGAAATAATAAATATTTAATAAAAATTCACAGTTAAACCTGTGCAATACCAAACAAACCTGCTTGAACAAACTGCTGGGATCCAATGGGATCTACAACCCATAGTCATTCAGCAGTTGCCTCCCTTGCACTGCAGGAAACAGTGGCCAGCAATATGATCTTGCCAAGAGAAATCACTTTCCTTATAACTATTGGAACTGTTTTGGGTTTTCTGCACATTAAATGGATATTGTGTAATTTTGCATCAAGGAAACAGGAATGTTATTTCTGCCAAGTAATGACTTTGTAAAGTTGGAAACGTTAATTATTATTCTTTATAACAATACCTTTCAACATCATAATTCAGGTACTCAAAGCTAAAAATGATTCTTGTTTATGATAGGGATATTTTAGTGTGACAATTTACACATTGCAAAGTATTTTTCTCCATCCTTTCTCATCATACTGCACATTCATACCTTGCGTTGCCATTGGTGACTGACTCATGCGACCTTGACCTTCCAACTGACTGGACGGCGGTCGTGGAGGCATAGGACTGCCAGCTTGATTTCCTGAAAAATAATCAACATCTTGTCAGGAAAATTCAGAATCAAGCACAGGTTTCTACTGGGATTCCAGCTGATTCATTTCTGCAGTATCACAAAAATGCATTTACAGATGAAACCAAATATTCTCCACAAACATGAAACCTGACCTGTAGATAAGTATTCTGAGAAAGACTTTCAGGCTGTGATCAGTTTACATGTAGAGATAATCAGAAAAAAGTATTATATCATTCCATAAATATCACACCATGAAATACATCATGAATCCTCAGCAGAATGATGAGTAGGTATCACAGCAGCCAATTTCATCACATATTTGGCCCTGAGCCTTGATGCTCATAGTGGGTGAGGTATTGAAAACATTTCAGGCTACTCATTTCGATACTGCAGCATTAGCCTTTTGGTGCTTCCTGCACTGTCAACAGGAACTAAACCTTGCAATTCACACGTTTTTGTTTCTTTTAGGAAGCACCTTTGGCATCAGATTATAAAGAGTTATGTCTTCTTAAACAGTTACTGCACACAATAAAAAGACACGCACCTGACTAGGTTTGCAATATTAACAACAGGGCTAACAACATTTTCCTGAAGTACTTCCACTAATAGATGTTACTTTACAGCAGATGAAACAGAACAAAAGTTTTAAACCGTGAGTTGCTTTCTATCATGGAATGCAGCTGAACATTTCACCTGTCCCAAACATTCTGCTCAACTGACAAATACTCAAAAACAATACGTACTAGATTGACTCTTTCCATTTTAATCAGTTATCTAAACAAGGAAAACGCTTAACACATCTTTTATAACTGCACCAAAGAAGAAAAAGCTCATTTTTATCGGTCCTTTCAGCCATTGTTTAATGTATGTGTAAAAGAGAAGAGAAGTGTAGCATGGTTTCAAGTGATGACAATTAGAATCAGCTGAGTTGAATGGCAATAAATGATTCAGTAAATGTACTACTATGTTGTGCAATTGATCACAGTAGGCTTCTCGAGGGAGGGGAACACATGTTGTAGAGATGATCAATGGCGTAGCAACACATTGCTGGAGAGGCTCCCGAGGGGAGGGATTCCATGCACCTATTCTGTGTAGGGAATTATTGCAGCGTAAACAACCATCCGGACGTACAATATAGGTTATATGCTCCCCTGTCCCTTTGTTTTCCCCTCGAAGTAATAACTGTTCTTGTTTCACAATGGCTGTAAAAAATGTGTCACTTTCAGTTTCATTTATTGCCTTGCTGAAGTGAAGATGAAATAACAAACCAGTTTATTTGTTTAGTGTGATATTTCAATAAGGAAATATGAGGGATAAATATTTTAAATGAATGGAATAAAACTTTTGACATCATTATTCATGCCTGAGACTACATAAATCTACAAAAATAGAAACTTACACATATTATTGAATATACTCCCAACTGGGCTAACAGCTGTCACTGCTCTCTCAGAATACCAGAGGTTTACTGATAATTCAATAGCATTCATTAATGTTTTAATGTGACATATAGTATTTATTATATATAACTTTGATGAAGTACAGGGAATAGAAACAAGTGATACCATATTGATACCCTGGATCCACTTTTGATTAAAACGTGATTGAACATAATTTTTCCACACTTGAGAATCTAACCCAACTGGAAACTGGCTAAACAGAATTGGCCTATTCAGTGACACAAACTTAATTTAATGCAAAATTATTTCATGAAATATTTATCAACTTGAAAAAGCAGGTCAAATCCATAAATATTTTCGATCACAAAGAATATTCTCAAAGCTAAATATCAATTTTACAGGTCCTATTGACACATTCAATATGAAATTCAGGACCAGTTTACAAAAAGAGAAAAATGTCCTGCACTCTTCTGACAGAGAGAAGGATTGGTGGTGGCATGTTGGAGCCTGAACTAGGAATATTCTCTTATCAAGATTTGTGCCATTGATCGCACAGAAGCAAGAGAACCAGTGAGTCAGCTCGAGCCATGGCCGTCTCTCAAACTGCAGGTGAGCCAGGCAAGGTAATGGAAAATCGGTGGTTGGCTTGGAAATTTTTCCCGCTTTACTTCTGAATGGATTATATCCATCAATAGGCACCTTAGCAGAGTTTGTGCAGCCAGTCTCTGATTGTCATCATTACCATTAACCTGTCCGACAACTCAATTTTCATCTTTCTGTTACAGAGGTTTTAGACAGTCAATTATTCTCAAATTGAGGTCAAATTCTTTGATACAAAACATGGCCATGTCACCTGTTGAAGAAAAACGTGTTTACTGCTCTTATTGTAATAATGATCATCATCATGTAATAAGCTGTATCGCGGGGGCGATGACCTACATATGTACCGAATAAAGAATAAACATAATGACCATCATTGGAAATTGCAACATAGGAATGGGTATGACAAGTGTGAGGTCATACATAAAATATTTCAAAACACTTGAGGCTGGATCGAAATGTTGCATTATGTGATCTGAACTTTTAAGACAAATAATCAAGGAACATTAAAATCAGAATGAGGTGATATATTTCAATCCATTATACAAGAGAATTCAACTGGGGGCAGCCTGACAAGGGATAATTTTGCATGCTATTTTTAACAGGTTTCACAGAACCATTCAAGTGACACATTCTACTTTGGGGAAATTATAAATATGTGGTGATTTATTTGTTTAGCTTAGATCATCTAAAATATCTGTACTTTTTATGCAACGACAATATTACACTTTATCATTAAAAACTGTGTTCCACAGGACATATTGCTTGTGTGAGATCAAACGATATCTCCAAGGAGAGATCTTTTTGAAAGTATATTTTGAACAATGCCCTGACATCATTTACATGACTCACAATGCTACGACGTCAAAATCCTGATGACGTCATAATGCTATGACTTGGCTGCACTGCAAGTCTAATGGCAGTACTGTGTTCAGAGATGTACATTTTTCATTGAAAACTAATGAAGAGTGATTTTTTATCTTAAATAGAATCTCATCCTCGTGTCTTCTGATATTAAATATATCAACACTCCTTGATAAAAGTAAAAATATACTCAGCAAGCGTGGGATATTTGTAACTTTATCAACTCGTGGTGATGTATTTGATATCAAAAGACACTCGGGTGAGATTCTCCAGCGGGGATTATTTTTAATACACTGTTATGGTATAACAAGAGATGGCTATCTTCTTGTGCCAAATGCAAGTAGATAAGAGACTGGGTCAAGAGCAACCGCAATGTAAATAAACCTAGTTGAGTATAATAAAAGAAACTGACTCACTTAACTTCTCATTCAACAATAAGTGTATCACTGGACTGCTCACGGCCAGCTACACTCACAAGTAAATGTATTCAAAGAGAGAATATAAAAAGAACTGGCTACCATGTTATCAATGACAATGTTGCGGTAAGGGGAATTGAAAGAATGATTTAATGTGTTTCCAAATGACAACTTACATACAACTACAAAAGATTAAATGGCTTGTGATGACAGTTCTCATTATATGTGCAGGGCCAAGGTACAAAAAAAGTGCCTAACAATTTTTAAAGGGTATAAAAGGGTAAAACTCCACTTAGCTTCACCACATAAAGAAGTTAGTGATATTTATTGATGGCCTTTAAAATGAACAGCTAAATTTGAACCATTGGAAATTATGTTAGCATCTGTAACTAATGGAACATGGCTTATTCACAGAAATATTTCCTTAAAAGCTCAGATAAAAGAGCCAAAAATAATTGAACAGGAGGCTCGTAAAATCCTGGCTCAACCTCTATATCTTCCCACTGCAAAATGAAATGAAATTGAGTGGCACATCAAAAACAGAAATGCTACGCAAGTGCACTTTGGGCAATTGTATTTTAAGATCTAGTTTGGAAAACCCCTACTTTGCAATGGCGTAGAGTTAAGCTTTGAATGGGGAAGACATAGATAGAATACTATCAATACATGAGGACTTGGGGGATAAGCTATTGACCTGAGGGTCTGCAGGGCTAGCCTGCTCATCACTACTGCTGTAACAAGACAATCCCTCCGTCTATATACTCTGCCGTCTTTAACACTTGTCGATAAGGTCATTCAGTGCAAGCATTGCTCCAAATGTAAACCTCTGTGATGGATATCACATCTCTGCTCAACCCCCCCCACCCTACTCATCCCCCTCCAGGAGAGGCACTCTCAATGAACACAGCCAAACAAAAAGGGCATGGATAAAAGATGATTGGCAGACAGACCTACTTCCTCACCACTCTGCCTTCCAACAAAGGTCATGTCCCTCCTATAGCACAGTGATTGGCAACATTGTGTAACAATAGGTGACACTGTACTCCTCTGACCTACTGCCACACTATGTGCTAATGACTTATCAACATTGTATCTTGCCGTGGCAATTTCCCTCCCACGCCAAAACAATGAATCTGAAGGCTATCCCCAGGCAAGGTGTTATAGAGGGGCAGCTGCAATAAATATCTCCCACCAGGTGTCCGATGCTCATTCCTCTTGTTGAGAAGCAATTTGATGGCTATAATTAGTGACCCGAGATTAAGCTGCTGAGCATGGAAAACCCCTTGTGGTGAGAGGCTCAAAACCACTCATCTTGGGAAATCCCCTCCATAAAATGTCATTTGGACCAGATGTCACTTCTGTAAATATGTTTATGCAATAACCAATCTACCTTCCTGGCAATGAATGCAACTAGCACACCTACTTGCATACCACAGCCGTTGGGCAAATCTTGCTCAGTAGATATAATTGTGTTTACACTAAACCAGTCCATCAGTTCTATGTACACACCACAGTGCTGTTTATATATACTTTGGACATTATTTCTTTATTACGATACTGCTAAATTTCATAAAGTATAGTAAGTTTTTGCACCTGGGACCAAGTTGGTTTGTGTAACAATAGGTGACACTGAATGAGTTAAAATATTTCGACGCTTTTAGCATTATTCCAGCAATATGGTGGGGGACCCCAGAAGTTTGTATGGACAACAAAATGTATCTTATATATTTTTTATTGGACTGGAACAGGTTTGATCTGTTTTCACTTTAACCATTTCCATTAAAAATATGATCTCATCTGAAAACACGTAAAACTATTTTACAGCAGAAATGGAAAATCTTGAAAATCTTACTGAATGTGAAAATTAAAGTTTGCTACCTTTCTTTAATCTACTCAATATTTTACTTAAATGAAGGCATATCATTTTTCAGTTCCTTGGGCACTCATAAAATATACATGCATTTTGTTTTTCGTAATAAATACACAAATTTGAAATTTAGCTGGGTTTTTTATTAATGTATGGACATCCTGTTTTATTTATACTTTCTCTAAGCACCATATAGATTTCAGTTTGTGGTGCCCTCCACTCTTGACAACGCATGGTAGCGAGCCTCCCCAGTAATTGACCAGCTGACGACGGTGCAATGAAGCAAAATGAATGTCTTCACACTCCCCATTTGCAAAGCCACTTGTGTAATTGCAAGTATGCAATGCTTCAAGGTGGTTCCAGAGTGGGTTTTCCCCTTTCTTTCCCCGCTAGGCTTTTTCCCCGACACAGATAAACAAAGCCATTACACTATTACATCATAATGGCAAACACGCTGTGAATATCATTCATGCTCTTTATGAAAACGTAAGGAGAAGCATGTGTCGTCCATGTGGTGATAATTCTTCAACTACCCCTAGCATCTGCCAGTGTGAGCTTACACCTTGGCCGGGAATTTCTTTTGTAATTTTTTTATTCAAATGCCCTTAAATTTCAACACAAGCCTGACAGAATAATTACTGCTTGTATTTCAAAGATCAGCGTAGGTCCGGATCACATGCCGACCTCATTATGATGCCATCTGACTTGTCGATTAGCAGTAATTCATATGCTCCACTAATATTTGCTTGAGCATTGATACTAGGCTGATAAGAATGGCTTGTTTGAACAGAAGCATGTCCTATAGGAGCAATGGCAGCCATAGCCAAATTGTACATGTCAACACTACCTTCATGTTATAAGGGCTACTAGATCATATATCAACATCACCTCAAAGGTTTTCTCAAATAGACACATAGACCGCACAGGCATTGTGATATCATAGTGGCTTTTTTCAAATCCATGTTCTATTCTTTACAGACCCTAAGCACCCAGGCAAGTTCTAATAGCTGAAGCAAGTCAAGGATTGACAAGACAATTCTGTGACTTTGTCACGAGAAATTTGTGATATTGTGAGAGCATTGCACAACTATATTCACTTGTCTGACATCAGAATCGAGTAAATATATCAAAAGCTTTTACAAGTAAAACTTCCACAAATATATTCGGAGAAAATTCTATTGCAAAATGGAGCCAAGATTTTAGCAGAACACTTCCGCCGATGCAACCTGCTGGGTTTACTCTGTGCAGTTACTAAAGTAAGAGGCATAAAACACTATTCACATTTCCACACAACCGTATTTGCTTCATGAATGATGCAGCAAGTTTGACTTCGTCAGATAGTGTCAAATGTACAGGATTCCTGCACTTGTTGTATTTCAAGGCAGAAGCAAATCAAACAGGATTTATTTGTTCAGAACATGCTATACTGCCTCTCCACTGCCTGTCATTAGGACGTGTTCACACAAAAATCGACTTACACAGATAAATTGTTTACGAAACAAAAATCATGCGAAATGTGCAAGTGGTTTCCATGGTACTGATTTCGTGTAGCAACACTGCATCTACTGAGATTGTTTTTAAACGTATAGTGCGTGAGTTGAGTTTTCATGCCGCATTTAGCAATATTCCAGCAATATCATGGCAGGGGACACTAGATATGGGCTTCACACATTGTACCCATATGGGGCATCGAACCCGGGCCTTTGGCATGACGAGTGAATGCTTTAACCACTCGGCTACCCATCCTTTTTAAAGGTTTAAGACACACAGCATTTTGTATGACATTGAATGTGTGACAACCAAATATTCATCAGGTTTTCTTGTCACAGAGTGCTCCATTGTCATTCACGACTATTGGGGTTACACCTCCAAAGTGACAAATATTGAACATTGAACAATTTCAGCCTATTCTGATTGTGTATCAATGCACACACAGCTGAATAACTTCCATATTTTCTAAAGAGATTAATTCAACAAAACTGGATTTTCCCGTAACGACATAAAAAATATATATGGAATTTTGCAGGATTTTCTAAACATAAACAAATTAAATGGCACTATACAATGTTCTGAGCCATCAAGCAACAGGTTTTTTTTACACATAGTGGCTTATCTCTCATTAGGATTCATAAACCATCATCCCGTCGAATGAAGCCCATGTTGATCATGTCATGCAGAAGTTGAACATGACACGGTTCCAGGCTAGCCACAGGAAGATGCTTTCTAATTGATTACTTTTTGAATCCACAGAGCATTCTTTAATTCAAACAAGGTTCTCCTGTGTTCAACCAACCATGCATCTATATCCATTAAACGTTCCATGCCCGAAAGGAGATATTTCATTAGAAACTGTAATGTTGAAAGTAGATGAAAATATTAAGCTTCAGTTGTACTCAATTCAATAACAAACTTAATAGTTTTCTCAAATATTGGCTGAAATTTCAATAAGGTGAAATGTGTCCCCTTAATATAATCCATTTAATAGTCATTATTCATTTATTGAATGCAAAACAATTTTTGCTTGTAACTTCCTTCTTCATACAACTTGTTATGAATTATTTTAGGAGTAGTAAAATTACGTTTGATTGTCAACTTAAAAAACCTAAATCATTTATAACTCCATCAGTCTGTTTAACAGTTGGCTTAGTGCACACATCAAAATAATGACATCTCTGGAAAGTGAAATAAATTGCTAATTTGTGAACCTAATAAAATGAATAAATAGCTTTTTGTGTACTGCTCAAATTTTGTACAATATATTCAAAGGATAAAGTTCTTCACAGGGAAGTCTCAATTTCGCTAATGTGTGACTGAGGACATAATACAAAGAGAAGACTCGACATTATCAAATACTTGAATTTTTTCAGGTAAATCCCAGCAATAATGACAAAAAATAATGTTATTATATTGACTAAGCAAGAGACAGAGGATAGCAAATTGGTTAGTTTCCTCTAATGAAAGCAGAAAGACCAAAGTTAATTCCCCACATGGATACAATTTGTGCAGGTTGTAGCTGTGTTCTCTACATTGCTACATTACTGCTAAAAGGAGCAAATGCCTTGTCAGCATGGTCTTTAAGGTATGTAGAGGGAATCAATGACAATCATTTCCCTGAAGTCTGTTAAATCAACTATCATATGTCACGTAAAACAAGAGTGAGTGAGTATGGTTTTACATCGCTTTTAGCAATATTCCAGCAACATCACGGCAGGGGACACCAGAAATGGGCTTCACACACTGTACTCATGTGGAGAATCGAACATACGAATCAGCGAGACAAGCAACCGCTTTAACCACGAGGCTTCCCCACCGCCCCACGTAAAACAAGGACACCTACAAAATCTGAACCCGAGTCTTGAACATTAAGTGAGAATTCCAGTTAATTGCAATTAAGATTTCCAAACTGGATCACACTTAAACAGGTTGATCTCCACAGGAGTGAGGATAATAAAATGTATTGGTAAAGTAAATATTACAATATGCATGTTGTTATTTTAAGCTCTTGGACAATCGCTACACACAACATCCACACTGATGTATTCACCATTTTCAATCTATTCTCAAACCAGCAGCACACAAATGCATCAAACATTGCCAATCATTATCCTTTTATTCTTCCAACAATTGAGGAAAATATGCGAAATGAACTATTTGGGCAAAATTGGAGGAAAAAAAACCCAAACAGGCAGAATAATTGTTTTCTGTTGTACCCAATGATCACTGAATGACCTTGCTACTGCTCCAGCAGAAACTGTTATGGATTGCCATCACTGCAACAATCATACACGAGTACTGTCTTGTTGGCCTACCTGGAAGAGAGGCTGGCGTGTTTGACCTTGACCCTGCTGACCCCGAGGGTGATGGCACCGGGCGGAGGGAGGAGACTGCCGGGTGTGGCACCCCAGTAGATGTTGGCGTTGTCCGCGAATCAGTATCGTCACCTCCTCCTTGTTCCTGAAATATAAAACCACCATCATCATCATCATCATCATCATCACAGTTTAAATCAAGAGTGAATGCAAGAGCAGTGCCACTTATAAACATTATTCATTATTTTTTCAGCAGTAATACCAAGAATATGCTTCACACACTGTCTGTGCCCCTAAGGACATTTTGCGAAACTTTGTGATCGTGGATAACAATTGGTCCATGTCCTCCTATTTGAATCAATCTGAATCCTCTGAATTGATAATCATAACATTTGCATGCTTGCACCGTACTAAAATGCCACGTGAACTTGTCTAGTCAGGATAATAACTGAGCAAGCTGCTATCCCTCATGACATCGGTCTAACATGCCGACTTCTACACCATCAGGAAACGCTTATTCTGTTGACACTGCAACAATCAATGTACTCCATCTTTTAATATACTACCCTATTCATTACAATAAACATTACTTTACTGAAACATGAACCCCTCATACTAATGATAGTGAATGCATATTGCCTCTTGCCATGGACAGCAATGTCACAGTAATCAGCTCTTCAAAGTTCAATGGTTACTCAGGGTTATTTTGTTAAAAAATTGGGATTTTACTTTAAAGATTCTTATATTGTGAACATTTCAGAGGTGGTTTAACACTATGTTAAAATTGCATTCTGTAGTAAACACAACTATTAAAAATCTATCTATTTGACAAGTCCTCGACAATTAGTTGTGTTAAAACTCATAACATTTTCTTCATTGACTTAAACCAGTTGATCATGTCACAGTAAAAAACTAGTCCCTATATCTGACTAGGTATCCGACTGGTCATTACGTCAGAAGCCAACACTTTTAATGAACTGACATAACTTTGTCAGGCAGACAGATCCAACGACAAAACAAACCTGACAAGACACATTCTGGCTAGGACAAAGACTGTAGTAGCCCACATATCACAAAAACTTCCATTGCAAGCCACAGCCACAAGAAGAGAATAATGACCATTAGGACATCAATGCAGTTTATATATTTCAAGGGTACTTCATTTCATTCTAACACTGGACTACCTTCAGCTAGTCCTGGATAAACAGATCTAGTTCCTTGAAAACCTGAAGGTTGATGACACTATGAAAGCAAGCTAAGTACATACAAGTAGGTTCATTCACTTCAGTTGAACAAATACGCAACAATTGCACTAACATTCCAGAGGAAGTAATGAAGTGTGAAATATAGTCCCATGTGACATATACTGACAATAGAGGTCTCCCACACTCTTTTAATCTATTATATCACATATCACGGCCTCCTGTTTGGTTACATAACAGCATATGCTGACAAGGTTATTGTACATTGTGTAACACTGCCCTAGTTTTCTTTCATCTGATTAGGTATGTGATACGCCGTGTTCATACATCAGTCTTCATTACTTGGTTTTTATAACACAAGGGAGGCAACCTGGAACAATTTTCATTACAAACAGATGTTAACATGCAATTTACGTAGCATTTTAGCCCAGCAAACATAAAATGTCACCCCAAGACAATAAGCAGTCTTGGTTTTTCAATTGGGCATAAAAAGAAATAGCACTGAAACGTATTTGTATGGACAACACCAGGTGTTGATGAAAAAAGTAAGCACGTCCTAAAATCAATTGATAACATTTACCCTACACTACTTTGATTGGTAAACAAGCATCTTCCAGCAATTAGTCAATTATAATCAAGCATTCCATGTGAATAAAATATCTCAATCACAGGAAAATTATTTGAGCATATTACAGCAGATGGAAGCTACAATTGTACAGAACGACATTTCTTTTCGCATCTCACCATTATTAGTTAATAACAACAATCAAACATCTTCAGTGAGTAAACTGCCCACAATTATTATTTTAGTGAGTGAGTGAGTTTAGTTTTACGCCACACTCAACAATATTCCCGCTATATGGCGGAGGTCTGTAAATAATCGAGTCTTGACCTGACAATCCAGTGATCAACAGCATGAGCATCAAGATGCGTAATTGGATAACGATGACATGTGTCACACTTTGTATTTCATATTCTGGGTGGAGTCATGCAAGAGAAGCAAGTAATCCACTGTAGGAAGTGAATCGATACAGAATAAGTGTTGTGTATCATATTGTTACATTAAGACCAACGACAGTTCATAAAAGTATTGCTTCACTCCCTTCTACTTATTCTGCGAGTGAAGTTTAGTCACTGAAAAGTAAAAATGACAAAAACAACTTGGTATTACTGTATCCATGACTTTCAGCAATATTATATTTCGAGGCTGCTATGTACATAGAGCTGATATCAGGGTGACAGTGGTACACAGAGTATTCCTACAAATTATATGTAAATTATGAAAGCTTTGTCAGAGCTCCAGATAAGATTTAGCTCATGTGGGTACTGTACCCACTGTATTTTGGGTATTATGAATGTTGAGTGGAGTATTTCATTTTCCGTTACCCACTGCTTTCAAATATGTGCGTATTTCAGTCATTTTACTCACCTAAGTATTATGTCATTGAGTAAGTTTACTAAACAGGTATGTTCTGCCTTATGTCATACCTAATCAAAACCAACTTAAACATAATGGAAATGATTTCATAAAAAATCACTCATCCTATACTGACAGTACACTTGTCCTATACTAACAGTACAACTTGATAGCAATCGATGTCTTTTTCATTACGCAAGCGATTTTTATAAATATATTCCGTACCCATTTGTTTTAAACTTTTTGCCTATCTAACATCTTAAATGCTGTAATTGGTATGCAACAAATTATTTTCAAAGCGTAATTTGAAATTTTCTATGGGTATTTTACCCGGATACGCAGCTTATCTGGGCCTCTGATTTGTTGATGTTCCATCTTTAATGTGCCTAAATAAATTTCCTTTACTTACAGCATATAGGACAGTCTGCATTTTATTCTGTAGACAACTCTAAATGTCGCCTTTACCAATCATGAAAACTAATATGGAAAAATAATTGAATAAAAGAACCATTTAGCATGAAGTGTGTTAATACAGAGTGACTCCTTTATCACTAAAATGAATTTGAAATGGAGAATGATGACTTGTATAAACACAATGTGATGGATGCTATCAATGACACTAGTTGATCTGGGGGAACCTTCTAATTGTCATGAAAAATCAATTATTGCACTTGCATTTCGTACTTATCATAGATCAATATTATGTCAAATAATCCTCCAATGCCTCGGGGAGAGGAATTAAATACAATTAACAATACTGAAACTGCTATTTCAGTTTCAAATTTATTATCAAACAGAGCTGTATTTGTGTTATTTAAGTTAACATTCTCAATGTTTTAAAGGACTTACATTTAGATGTAAATAATCCAGAACACATTTTATTTTCTGTATCTCATTTTACTAAATATCCCCACAATTATTCAAGACATAAACAAATGGAACTTAAAGTAAATCTCGACAAATCTCAAAAACGTTTATTGACATCAGCAAGAACATTAACAGAAAAATATGAGCAATAAATTGCAAATTAAAGTGAAATTAATTGGAACAAAATACAGGAGAGAAAAAGTGTACACTGGAAAATGGTAATATAATCAGTGTGTTATTTTGAGGTAACACATTCCAACATTCCATGATCATTTTTCAGAACACTTGTATTTACATTTCACATTACTTAAAAATAATATTAATGTCTTAACAAAAATGGGGTGGAAAAACAACAGCTTAACAAGTTTCAGTCAAGTTTTCAAACAGATGTTTCACCAAGCTACAAAAATCAATCCAAACAAAAATGTTTCAAACAATCAATATAAAAAATATCAAACTGTTACGCCCAAAATCCTTAATTCAAACTACAAATAAAACCCAGGCTCAAACTCCTCTAAACAAAATTCCATTTATTCGTCTGTGAACAGAGAGCTAGCAAACGGAGGACTCCAAGTACAACACAGCCTAGCAAGCTAAAGGAAGGCAGCCATATTCACATAGCACTATGTGCTGGATGGGCCTGCTCTCCCACAAGCAGGATACTCACGTAACGAAGGCCTTGCCATACAATGCTCACCTATTACAACACTAGCGTACCTAGTACAGCCTTCATTTGTCCGTCCCCTGTCTATTTCACTTGAATCTTTTTTCCTTCCTACCAGCAAACAAAGGTTTTGCCTGACCGCTCAATGTTCAAACAAAGCAAAGGTCACCGGTCTTCCTAGATAACACAAGCATTACCTTGTGTGCACACCTTGATGAATTCTTTCAACGTAAACACATATTACTCAAACATTATTTTGTTATAAAACACTGAAACCAGTTGAGAAAACTAGTTAAATAGGAAGGTTAAATGAACTAGTTCGCTTCCACCAGCTCAGACCTGGCTGTGCTAAATATATCTACAAGCTGTGCTATCCACTCCACCTTAATTATCCTTCCTGGTTGAATAGGCCAGTCTCTCAACACAAAAGAATTAATTCCCTTTGTTTCCAGTATCTACTGCTACTACTTACTTGGGTGAATCTCTGAACAATCAGCCCTCAGATGAACAGGCAGTCAGGCTGTCTCTCACAGTTCAGCTAAAGCCACTAAAAATATCCCCGGTTGAGAACAGAAACAGGATATACCAATGTGAAAACCCCCTTAGTCAAGCCTCCGCTCGCTCAACTAGCACAAGTTTGCTTTTTCTCGGGCTCAAAGATTCCCCTTGCCTGTCCCCACTCTTCAGTTGCTTTTACAACATGTTCCACTTAGTGGGTTCAAGGGAAAAGCCTCCTAATTGAAGCCTGCTTGCTCCTCTCCCTATCCTTTCACAAATAGACTGGTCCAATTTACATTCTGCCCATGGTTGAATAAGCTGTAAGGGACAATACAGCAGTGCCCATTTATCAAGCTATGTCAGGCCTACACAGCCTGGTGTAGCCTACGCAGCAGTTAAGCTATCTGACTAGCGCTCCGCTCCCGCTTGCTAGCTGGCTGCTGTCTCACTGGCTGCACTACTAGACTCGAATATTCAACAGAGGATTTCTCCCTAAA